AGTAGTGCATAGTATCTCTGGCATGGAAGGCACTGTCTGCAGTGAGCACGGCGAGCAGGGCAGTGCGAAGTGGTGGTAGTGCATAGCATCTCTGGCATGGAAGGCACTGTCATCTGTGAGCACGGCGAGCAGGGCAGTGCGAAGTGGAGTAGTGCATAGCATCTCTGGCATAGAAGGCACTGTCATCTGTGAGCACGGCGAGCAGGGCAGTGCGAAGTGGAGTAGTGCATAGCATCTCTGGCATGGAAGGCACTGTCAGCTGTGAGCACGGCGAGCAGGGCAGTGAAGTGGTGTAGTGCATATGACATTCTCTGCATAAAAGCACTGTCACCTGTGAGCCCGGCGAGCAGCAGTGCAAAGTGGAGTAGTGCATAGCATCTCTGGGCATGGAAGGCACTGTCTCCAGTGAGCACGGCGAGCAGGGCAGTGCGAAGTGGAGTAGTGCATAGCATCTCTGGCATGGAAGGCACTGTCATCTGTGAGCACGGCGAGCAGGGCAGTGCGAGTGGTGTAGTGCATAGCATCTCTGGCATAGAAGGCACTGTCATCTGTGAGCACGGCGAGCAGGGCAGTTGGAAGTGGAGTAGTGCATAGCATCTCTGGAATAGGAAGGCACTGTCATCTGTGAGCACGGCGAGCAGGGCAGTTGGAAGTGGTGTAGTGCATAGCATCTCTGGAATAGAAGGCACTGTCATCTGTGAGCACGGCGAGCAGGGCAGTTGGAAGTGGTGTAGTGCATGCATCATTCTGAGCGCATGGAAGGTATCGTCTCCAGTGAGCACGGCGAGCAGGGCAGTGCGAAAGTGGAGTAGTGCATAGCATCTCTGGCATGGAAGGCACTGTCATCTGTGAGCACGGCGAGCAGGGCAGTGCGGAGTGGAGAGTAGTGCATAGCATCTCTGGCATGGAAGGCACTGTCATCTGTGAGCACGGCGAGCAGGGCAGTGCGAAGTGGAGAGCGGCATAGCATCTCTGGCATGGAAGGCACTGTCATCAGTGAGCACGGCGAGCAGGGCAGTGCGAAGTGGAGAGCGGCATAGCATCTCTGGCATGGAAGGCACTGTCATCTGTGAGCACGGCGAGCAGGGCAGTTGGAAGTGGTGTAGTGCATAGTATCGCTGGAGGAAAGGCACTGTCTCCAGTGAGCCAGCAGTGACGGACGGGACAGGGCAGTGCAGAGCAGCGCATAGTATCGCTGGCATGGGATAAGCCACTGTCTCCAGTGAGTCACGGCGGAGCGGCAGTGTTGGAAGTGAGTCAGTTCATACATATGGAAGTCGAGCACGATTATAGTAGAAGTTACAATGATGAGGGAAACAAGGAGTTTCCATACTTTCTTCAGGCCTTTATTTAAAAATTTCCCATTTCCCGATCATGATTTTCAATTGCTCTGAACTACGGAGCACGTCGTATTCTCCACTGCATTTTGTATTTACTATTTTCAGTTTCAGACATTTTCCTTCGTTGTTGGCGACTAGATCGAAAGAGAAATTTTCTCATGTTTTGTGCGAGTTCTTTATCGGAAAGGAGGCTTTTTATCGCGGTCATGACATTCATGCGTTAAACGAGAATTTAAGTACAGTCCTAACCGACACTTGTTTGCCGACTTGTTGTTATCCCGTCCTTGCCGCGTCACTGGTGCAGTGTTTTTCTTTGTACATATTTGATGGTTAGCCACTCCAATTTGTACTTTTCCATGCCATGCTCACTACGGCGTGGCTTCCTTCCCGGCATAAGCTTCAAGACAACTTGCACTGCCCCGCGCCAATGTAGCTCAAATTGTGGTTGAGTTCCTTGTCGGATGAAATTGAGTCCCAGCATAGGGTTTATACTTCATGATAGATTGCGGGGTGCATGTGGAACTTCTTGCCGTCTAAAAACAAAGCCAGGAAATGCAGTCACTCATATCTAGTGATGAATGCATTGGAACCATCGTAATTCCATAAAACGAAGTTCTCATTGTAGTTGATGTGAAACCGTGCACTTATGTAAGAGATTAAGCACTTGTGGACTCGTCTTTTTTTACGCATGGAAGGGTCTCATTCAGCCAACCGAGTTCTTGAACAGTCGAAATAATCAGCTACTGTGATGCAGGCTTCATAGCAAAAAATCCGTAATCGTAAGATATTTGCAGGTTGGCGGGCAAGATTATGGAGGCTACTCGAATTCCTGTATGATATTCGCTATCACTACTACAGAGGCGGTTGTTTAATTGGTACCTACCCACGGTCATCCCTTTTTTGTGCAGTGGGTCCTATTCATTATCGCTTTTCATGATGTTTTAAGACTTGGAAAGATCATTGCCACTGCTTTGCTCTGTTCAGTGGTTCTTTTGGGAACAGGTGCCCTTTCAGATGCTCCTCTCCTTCACATCCTATGGAATGATGTACATAGAGCTAAAAGATAGTATACGAGAAGGTTACACCGCGTTGGAAGCTCGATCACGTTACGAGACACAAGCCCTTAGAGAGTTCATGAACACATCAGGTCAGTTACTGTAGCCAGCAAAGCCTTCTATGGGAACCTAGCGCGGAGCAGTAAAGCAGATGAGGGTGGGCGTGGATCATTCCTTTCCCGGCGTGGGCCACGTATGCAAGTTCCATAGGAAACCATAGAGGAAGTTGAATAAGTGGGCAATCTATATGGCTGCTTGGTATCAGAACCTGGAGTGGATGAGTTGACCACTGCAGGAGGAGGGGGGGGGGGGGGGGATGGGGAGTGTTTGACCTAGGCGAGATGCGATCTGCAGAGAAGAACCTAGCGGTTTCGTTTCTTCCACCATCTGATCGGTGGTACCAAATTGAGGCAGCAAGTGAGGGATCAGGAACGTGGCCCTTCAAAATTTAGGGAGCTGATTATCCAACCAATCGCATACTGCTGGGCTACAGGAAATCTCCATAACTCCTTTTAAGGTCCACCCATAAAGTTCCTTTTTGCAGTTGACCCGATGGAAATGATCCTGCTATTGATGGCGAAAGATGGCGGATCGGTGCATCGGAAGGCGCATCTCGACGAAGCGGCCACCATCGTCGACTTCATCTACAACATGACGGTCACCCACGGAAACCGGAGCCTGGTCTACAAAAAGATGTGCTCGCCGTATTGCTTTGCCAACGAGCTTTTCGGGACGTTCAAGGTGAAGACGTTTTACCTGAGGGCACCAGTTTTTAACAGCGAGACAAGTTTAGAGTCTGTGCTTATCCTCCGCCTGCTAGTGCGGCTCTCCATCCAACTCATCCAATGTTACTCCTGCCTACAGGGTACCTTCATCTCTGAAAAACTGTCTGTTGAGTCAGGAGGGTATAGTATGCATACCCACATCTTCCAAAAATAAAACCTCTTCTCACCGAAACGGCTCCCTTTTCGCTTTAAAAATTACAGACACAACCCTCGCTGTTGAAAATTGGTAGAAGACTTGACTGACCAATTCTAGTAGTCGTTTATTGGCATTCCCTTTGATTCTTGGTTCCCTTAGTTTTCAAATTCAAATCTTTCAGCACTACTACGATGTCAACTACAGATCGGCCACTAGGTCCGGTACATGGAGTGATTTGTTCAACCTGTCGTATCCGTTCGCTTCCATCTGGGGTTATCGGGTACCACTCGAGCAGTGCTTGTTCGGTGTAGTACTGACACAACCTAGCAAGACCAATTCTTCTTCTGGGACTAAGAAGGTATGTTTTAGTCCTCTGTTTTAGTTCTTGGGATTTGGTCTGTACGGCAATGCGTGTTGCGGAGTTGAAGCATCTGGTTTTGCGTACGGATGATTCCTGTTAAGCCTTCTCTCTGTTGTCCCGCCTAGGGTGAAAGTTTTGTTCACAACCCAGCATTCTGGAAAACCTTTTCTCTGTGAAACCTTTTCTCTGTGTTAAACAGTTCGCAGATCGCGACAACAGGTGGGCTATTGCAGAGCGGCATTTCCGCTCCTCTTCGCTTGTCGGTTGGCTTTACTGCGTTCTACTGCCCAGCCGCTCTGTGTTTCTGCACGTTACCGACATTTCAGGTGAAGCGGTTCATCTTTGACGAAGACATCCCGGTAGACCGCAGCAAGCCGTTGGAGTCTCAGATCACCAACATGCAGCACGTGCAGGTGAGCGAGTCCCAGCGCTGTTGTCTGCTCCGTGGTAACCGCTTGGTTCTCAGCTCGTTGTTCTCTTTCCGTACGGCTTCAAGAACACCACCGAGCTGCAAACAGGCTTCGCCCTCTGGGAACTGGGAATACACGAGTGGACCAAAAAGTACAACAAGGGACTGATCAAAAAGAACTCGAAGATAGAAGTTCTTGTGGGTTTGCCGTTTTGTACTACCATAAAGTCCTCTCGGGATATGAACAGAACAAGAGAAATAAAGCTTGAGTCCTGAGGGAGTGAAGTTACATCAAGGCGCAATGTATGAGGAAATGGATGTGGGGGATACCATAAGATACGGGGGCGTTGCAGTAGCAATGCATTTGAAACTGCGTGAAACAGTTCCTTTTTGTTGAAATATGACCCAGCATTAGGCAGTGGAGGAGAGACTCCAGAGTGCGTTGAGCAATTTTCGATTTCCCCGGCGTTCATGCCTCCTCCATGGCTTATTGTTAACCTGAAAGCCCCACATATTGCGATAGCCCCACAGCATGTGTAACGGGCACTCGGGTGGTAGTTGGTTTCCGAATGAGACGGTCCTGTCGCGGGGGAATATAGTATGATGACCGCGAGTTTCGGCTGAGAGGTATTGAGGGATAACTCATAGTGGGTGGGACATCACACAGATGAGCGACGTATGCGATACCGGAGGAGGGACCAACTTAGCAACCGGGAGCAAAAAAGAGGCGTATTTACGGCATCAGAAGGTTCTCAGGGTGCGGCGAGGCCCAGGTTTTCTTCCTCTGAAATAACTTGTTCTTTCGACTGTACAAATTTGTACTGCAAAAATGCCGTATGAATTTGAGAATGCAATCTTAGTGATCAAGCACTCAGCTATTTTGAGCCTTATTTGTTCACAGGCCTATGGAAACGAAATACTCGACATGGAGGTCAATGAAGACAATCGAAAAATGGCTCCTTATTTCGGAATTGGTACGTGTTCAGGGCGCGACCTGAGGGGCCCACTTGAACTAGTCTGTATAGCGATTGCACGCCATATGTGCACGCATGCGGCCCAGGTTGGAGCGAATCGGTCGAATCGGGCCGACTGCTATAGGGGTTCATGTTCAAGGAGAAGGGTTGCTGGTGTAATCTTATCCGAACTCAAAACCAACCCGGTCCTGCTGTACCCACAACATACCGCTAGGCTTAGAATCAGGTTGTGCTTGCGTGGGATATGGAGCCTTTAGCCTTTATTGTTCTGGATCTCTTCAGCCCAGAAGTAGATGCGCTTCTAGATGCTACCGAGTGCCCTCAATAAAAAGCTTTGTAAAAGCTAGGCGTTGACCAATCTCGTTTTGAGATGCGCTACGCGTTCTACTCCCATTCAGAATCGTAGTGACATGTAAAAGTCAGAGCTTCTATCCTTCCAGACAAGTGTGGTATCAACTAACCGACCCTGGAGGGATGGAAGGATTGGTTGACCCGGACAACGCACAACCCAGAATTTGGCCCGTGTACCGCGCGACCAGCACCACTTGCCGCTATCACTTCCGCTCCCCCCTCTGATTCCGCCACAGTTTCGTAATTTTGAAATGTTTATGCCTGTACACTTTGCATGGGAAAAATAAATGGCTTTTTTCTGGGTCCCATTCGCTTTCTTTTTTCCAGGATTTGCTAGTATGCTGGCAATGGTGGTGATCTGTGTGCTGTCCATTTCGTACTACTATCAGGCACTGGACGTCGGCAAAATGTGAGTGAACTGTGAACCCTTGATAAGACTCGAAGGAACGCTCAGAATATTGTCTCTATGAGTGGCACGGGTCAAAAGAAGGGATTGTTTGGCAACTGAACTCACCCTGGGTCAACTAGTGCGTTTTGCAGTCTAATTGGCTTCTGTGCGACACTTTGTCCACTCTTGGGCATCACATCCACTTATGGCCTCCTGGCTCTGTGTGGAGTACGCGTAAATTCACTGCTTCTTGTGATGCCGTTCTTAATAATGGGAGTCGGTGAGTTCTGAACATTGGACACGAAAAGTATGTTATTGTTCGCTTTCTTTGGAGTGCGCCATACATTTTACCTTCATTGAAAATGGCATCAGCGTTGGTTTACACAAGGGCTTTTTGCTCGAACAGGTAACCTCATTTGATGAGTGGTATGTAGTAATAGGCCACACAAATGATGAAAAAAAGGTAACCAACTCAGCGCGCGCTCTCGATCTGTGCGCTCCAGTCCGAGCCAATGAAGCGCTGCATTCTTAGTCGACCACAGGGTAATGGAATTAGGCGCTATCCCAATATACGGGGCGTGCTCAAGGACCAAGCTCAGGAGGGGGCAGGAATTCCCGGGTGAATGAATGGCTGACGCACCGTGGGGCCTCCCCTTCCTTCTTCAAGGCTTAGTCCATTTCAACAAAATGGAAATGTTATTCGCGATTATAAGTGCATTCCCACAACGATGCCCCCGTATCTTGCGATTGCGCCTAGAATTATTTGGAATTTCGGGATATCGCCCTGAGGTATCACCCCAAATCACTGTCAATTGAAGTATGCCCTTCAAAGTTCATGCGATGCTGAGTGAAGGTCGAATGTATGGCGCAAATTGCCCATCACGGCCACTGCTCTGTCCCAGCTACTGTATCACTGTGAACATCAGCTGGGGAAGCCTTTCCCACAGCTCCTTTGGAAATTTTTCAA